TTGCTGGTCAAAGAGTATACATGTTGTTTTCAACGTACTCTTCTCTGTGCTGACCCTCAGAGGTTATTGTATTCTTCCTCATTAGTCTGCCCTGTACTGATGCACTGTTAATGAGCACAGAACTCAAAATCCACATCTTTCTCCTACAAACAGGCAATCAGCTCTACAAATCAGATGTGATTTCCCATTTGGAGCAAGGAGAGCAACTTTCAAGAGAAGAGTTAGGTTTTCTGCAAGGCCAGAGTCCAGGTGAGATCCAAGAAGCTGTGCTTCAATAGGAGGAGGAGCCTGGTCAGTGAGTGAATAGGCCCTAAGAAATATCACATGAAGATATCTAAGTTTAGTGATATTTTTAAAATTTAGACAATATCATAGAAAAATTTTTCAGGTGATGTCATACCTTGCAGGTATCAATTTTCTATTCACGTGTTTTTCTGCCTTTGCCTTTGGCTTTAGGCAAGGTGAAATTTATATACTCACTGGAGCTAATAAACATTCACAGAAAGTCCCTTTTCATGGTCCTGTTTTATGAGTAGGATCTTCTCTTTTCCTCCTCAGCTTGCCATCTTCTTTTTTTTTCTTCCTCTTAAGTGTTTGTTTGTTTATTTATTGGCTGCCCTGGGTCTTCGTTGTGGCACATGAGCTCTTCATTGTGGTGTGTGGGCTTCTCTAGTTGTGGCACGTGGGCTCAGTAGTTGTGGCTCCCAGGCTCTCTAGTTGTGGTGTGGGCTCTAGAGTGCGTGGGCTCAGTAGTTGCAGCACACAGGATTAGTTGCCCTGTGGCATGTGAGATCTTAGTTCCCCAACCAGGGATCAAACCTGCATCCCCTGCGTTGGAAGGCAGATTCTTAACCACTGGACCACGAGGGAAGTCCCCACCATCTTCATTTTATTTTTCTCATATTTCAGTCCTGAGAATGACAATTGTTATAGTCCTATAATGTGTTTCTTGTCTTTAGAATATTCCTTAATTTGATGTGCTTTCGTTTTTTTCTTTTCAGACTATTCCTTAATTTGACATTCTTTGCCATCTACGTGTCAGTATTTGAAACATACACAAATGGGCATTGGGTCTCTTCACCATTTTAATTCCTAATACCACTATAGAGATTTATTTTTTTCCAGTCATTTCAGGTAGAGAAGATGATCTGAGAAAACAGGAAATGATATCCATGCAACATATCTACAAGAAAGACACATCTGTAATCAGTGCAATGGTAAGCTTCACGGGTGTAAACATGTTCTTCCAGTTGAAGACCTAGGAATTGAATAAGTTGGGAATTTGGCACACTTACCTGATTTAATTAAAGTTGGGATCATGGACTCCCACAGGAGAAAATTTTAGTTAGTTTGGTTTTAGGGAAGAAACATTAACCTGTAGTCAAAACCATAACTTGAGGTCTTATATAAACAGACAATTATATAATCATGGCTTATATTCCTAATCACTGAAACATAATAATGTCTTTAACATCTGTATAAACAGATGTCTCTGCAGTTGGGTTACTACAAAACATAAAATCTATGCTTGCAAGAGAGTAATATCCCATGTTTATGTAAATAACATAGGGACAATTTTAACTGGAGTCTGTCACTGAATGATTACTCTAGAATTTATATGTAGAGGAATGAATGAAGGAATGAATAAATGTGGGCAAACCTGTAACAGTCTCTCATTTCCTTTCAAAAAGCAGAGATCTCACAGTCAAGAGGATCTTTTGGAATGCAATGATTTCAGAGAAAAATTTACTGAAATCTTAACATTGACTCAATATGTGATACCTCAAGTGGGAAAGAAACCCTTTTTCAGCCAAGATTTTGGAAAAGCCATCAGTTACTTGTCATCCTTTAATATACATAAGCAAATTCATGCTAGAAGTAAATCATATGAATGTCATCAACGTACGAATGCCTTTATTCAAAGTTCTGCCCTTAGGCAGCACGATAATACTCAAACTGGAGAGAAAACATTTGAATGTCATGTATGTAGGAAAGCCTTCAGTAAAAGTTCTAACCTTAGACGACATGAGATGATTCATACTGGAGTGAAACCACATGGATGTCATCTGTGTGGGAAATCCTTTACTCATTGTTCTGACCTTAGAAAACATGAAAGAATTCACACTGGAGAGAAATTATATGGCTGTCATCTGTGTGGGAAAGCCTTCAGTAAAAGTTATAATCTTAGGCGACATGAGATGATTCACACTAGAGAGAAACCAAATGAATGTCATCTGTGTGGGAAAGCCTTCACTCATTGCTCTGACCTTAGAAAACATGAGAGAACTCACTTTGGAGAGAAACCATATGGATGCCATCTATGTGGGAAGACATTCAGTAAAACTTCTTACCTTAGACAACATGAGAGAACTCACAATGGAGAGAAACCATATGAATGTCATCTATGTGGGAAGGCCTTCACTCATTGTTCTCACCTTAGAAAACATGAGAGAACTCACACTGGAGAGAAACCATATGAATGTCATCTATGTGGAAAAGCCTTCACTGAGTCTTCTGTCCTTAGACGACATGAGAGAACTCACACTGGAGAGAAACCATATGAATGTCATCTGTGTTGGAAAGCCTTCACTGATTCCTCTGTCCTTAAGCGACATGAGAGAACTCACACTGGAGAAAAACCATATGAATGTCACCTATGTGGGAAAGCCTTCAATCACTCTTCTGTCCTTAGACGACATGAAAGAACTCACACTGGTGAGAAGCCATATGAATGCAATATATGTGGTAAAGCCTTCAATAGAAGTTATAACTTTAGATTGCATAAGAGAATTCACACTGGAGAGAAACCGCATAAATGTTATCTATGTGGGAAAGCCTTCAGTAAATATTTTAACCTTAGACAACACGAGAGAACTCATGCTGTAAAGGTAGTAAATGTGGAAGATTCACCACCCATAGCTTCAAAGTATAAACACTATTGTGGACTCGCACAGTGAAGAAATACTATGTTTATATTCAGTGTAGAAGAGCCTTTATTCGTCCTTATTACTCCACTCAAAGTTAATACAAAGTGGAGAGAATCCATACGTATGTTACTTATGTAACAAAGCATTTAGCAGTGGACTCAGGTGGGAGAACTGAAACTGCAAATGGAATGAATTTGGGAGAATCTTCATCCTCAGCTGTAACTGTTAAACTAAATGGATAAATCACATGTCAGAGAAATTCTATGTCTGTAATCAGTGTGGAAATGCCTTGAGTTATAAATTATCCTCTAAATAAATAAGTAAACTGCACAAGAGAGAAATTCTAGACCTGTAATCACTGTGCACTCTCGTTTAACTTAGCACCACCCTTAGCATTCATGAGAAGATTCAGTGTCGGGTAACTGCTAAGAAAAGAAGTAAGTGGAAATAAATTAGTACATGAAGAAGATTGAAGACATTTGGAATATCCCATTTCTGGAATGCCTAATATGTTTACACTTATTGATGTAATGACAAAGTACTGCTCCTCCTAGTGATTCATAGAACACCCAGAAAGCTGGGAGAGCAGAAAGAAGCCAAGATAATCTGATCTTGCCCATATTCCCCTGTCACAACAGCCATGAATCCACAAATCACCAACTGGGAATGATACCCATGAGTCCCAGCCCCTCCCATATACAAATACAGAAGGCTAAGAGAGAAAAAGTTGGAGCTTCTCTGCTGCCAGGGTAACAGAAGGGCTGGTTCTTGGTACTCATTTGAACATGACTAATATCCGTGTTTCACAGGTGGCAAAACTGAGAACACAGATGCTTATAATTCATTTATCCCATGTTTTTCTGGGGGATACATATGGACTCAAAGTGAAGGGATGGGAAAACATATTCCACATAAATGGAAATCATAAAAGCAGAGCTAGCTACACTTTTATCAGACAGAATGGACTAATTCAAAAACTGAGTTCATGAAGAGAATGTAACATTTGTAAATATGTTATACAATATAATACCAAGACTAAGTGCACAAAATATTTTATAACGATGGAATAGAGGAGGTCTTCCAAAATAAAAGGAGACAACATGAAGGAAAGATTTATATTTTATCATATAAAAATTATAACTAAAATGGATCAAAGTGCAGGCATGTGTACATGTATAAGTCTGTGTGTGCACAATAAAACTACAGAATATAAAAAAGTATGTAAAATTACATGAAAAATTGGCCAAGTAAGAAATTTAACTTACATGTACATGTCTATGAAATAAAATGCATTGATAAATTTTATTCAGTAACCAGTGATGTGGAAAGAGACAAACAATACTCATTTTTCCACATACATAAAAAAATAATGTAGTATCAAGTCCTATTTAAAGCTGAGTGAAAAGCCCACATTCTGGTTGTGGGTGAGGATATTGCAGCTTTAGGTAGGGGGTAGCTTGCCAAAATCTGTCAAAATATGCATGCACAATAACTTGAACCAGCAACCAAACTCCAACTTCCCCAAATCAGGGAACACTCTGACATCTGCAGATAAGTCATTATGCTCAGAAACAGCCACAAAAAAATTCTTTACAAATCAAGGAACATCAAGGTCTCCTTAGGATAGATGTAGTGTGAGCTATTTTAGACATTTACGTTGATTGAATTTTTAAAAAGCAGGGAATAAAACCCACCCCATCATGTGGATAAAATGCAGTCTTAATTTTCACTGTTACCAGTTTCTGAATTCTCCATTTTATTCTAAACAATATTTTGTGGCCAAATTCACACTGATTCACGTTGTTAAGGGTGGGATGTGTTATAAATTTAGGTAGATCAAGTTTTCCATTATCAATCTTGTTTTCCAGCTATTCCTGCAGATTAATAAAAAGTTTGCAGTTCCTTTAATACCTTATCCATAGAGAATTGACAGTGCATCCAGATGTGACCCCTGCTGTGCTATCTCATTTAAACTATAGTGCTCATTCCCCATTCAGGTCACATCTGAGTGTGAAGTCCTTCCTATGATTATTCCCCAAATGGAGCCAGTTCACAAGTCATGGTAAGAATCTATCCTGAGATGGAAGAGGGTTCAGGGAAGGCCATGAGTGACTGTGAGCAAATGTGTTGGTAAGATACATGAGAGAGATTAGCAGGTCCTGGAGAAAAAAAAAAAAGTGTTTTAGGAAGAGAAGGTAACAACCAACAGAGAGGATGATTCCTAAGAAGCATTCCTGACTCCTCATTTCAAACGAGCTTTCTAAGGCAAGATCTAAGTCACTCCTGGGTGTTTGAAAATATGCCTTTCAGCATACCCCCTTCCTGTGACACAACCATACAGATAAGGAGGAATTCACTTGTGGATATGACACGTCGTCTGCTGTCCGCTAAAACACTGGGAATTCAGGGTCAGTAAACTCTGTGGAGCCTGCAGTTTGGTTTTCCCGTCCTTCAGAAAGTCCTCCTATCCTGATGAAACCCACATATTTCTTGGCAGCAGTGGGTGTGTGGGAGGGACTGACCTACCCTTGAAGTTGGAGACATCGAAGACACTTCTAGTACCTGATGACCATAGGATTTTCAGGAAAGGATGGGCAAAGATTTTCATTTATCCTAATTCTAAGCTTCCCAGTGTCCCACTCATCCCTAGCTCCTTCATCCCCTATAGCATTCTTTTCATTCTCCAAGCTCAGTTCACATAGCCACGTGTCCCTTCCAAATGGGAGAGGTATTTATGTTCTATGCTTAGTTTTAAAAGTCTTGGTCCTCCCCTACCCAACTGACCAGGAACTCTGTGCATGTGTTGGACAGGCAAGCAAGTCAGTGGGAGAAGCCAGTAGAATGTAGAAACCACTAGTCTCAGAGGAATAATGTAGCCTGAACGGAATAGGGCAAGGTTTACTTTATCACTCCTACATCTAATGATTATAGACCATATTTCATACCCTCAAACAAGAGTAACTTCTTTTCTATGGTTTTAATCATAATTATCTCAAGTATTTAACATCTCTTTTCTAGAACATTACATTAAACTATCAGAAAATATACAATTAAGAACAAACTACCATCACTGGAAATCAAGAAGGAAAGCCAGCTATGTAAACACCTCTATGCAGTGTATTCATCCTGAACAGATGGGCGTTGTTGGAACAAAATTCAGGTACAATTCAGTCAGTCTTTGAACATTTACAAAGAAAGGATAAAGGGCGCTTACAGACTTAGTGGGAAACTTTAGTTTACAGACCACTAAGTTAAAAGATCGCATAAGGGAATTGATGAAAATTATTATTAGACAAATTGGTTAAACAAGATTTTGACTGTTAATACAAAAAAAGTTTTGTCGATACGCTTACCAAGTGCATATTGAAACAGAATAATATTTAGTAAGCTCAAAAGAATATTTTCAGCATACAATAAAGAGTGGAAAATGATTGACATAATCTGAAAGTGACACAATAAATTTAAGAGAAATAATTTTTAAAACACTGTAATGAATTTGAGATCTATCATTCTTTTACTCTCTTCCTATTCTGTCTTACTCCATCTCTCTGCTGATACCCTTTTTGTCTGTTTTCATTTAACACACTGCTTCTTGCCCAGGTCACCGTCTGACTCTTCTCATATCTAGAAAGTCCATCGGACCAACCTGTTCCTCCATCTTCTATGTTACCCTCTCATTTTCTCCCTCCCTGACTCACTGTCTCCCTGGTTCTCCATTTGTCTCTCTTCCCCCTTCCCCCTCCCCTGCCCTTCACCTCCACATTCACAAGGATGGAATAAAGATGCCACCTGTGCAGGAAGAGTTCACATCAGGAATGTAAACATACCCTGGCAGGCACCGCCAGTGAGATGGGATCTGGGACAGAGGACACGGGTGTCACAGGACAGGGCCAGTCACCTTTCCTAGCCAGGGCTCAGGAGTGCCAACTAAAAATCGGCACATGTCATCTGCCTCTATAAGGACTAAGTCACAGACCTCTACAGCTGCTGACCTTCAACACCCCCTGAAAGGAGATCAGGATGGAGATGAGGAAGAAGGCACTCTGTTCTGGGGAAAACTGGCAGAACAGGTCTTCAGATAGCTGTTCCGCTCCTCGTGATGAGCAGCGAGCCGCTGCCAGAAGGTGTGCTTGACTGCACATACCGCCTTCACTGCAATCCTTTATAACACTGACCTTCCCCTACTTCTCTGGAGCGGTTTCTCAGAGCTATCTGAAGTGCTGTCTCCCGGGCTATTGTCCTAATTTTGCCCCAAATAACACAGCTCACAACTCTCACCTTGTGCATTTTTTTTCAGTCGACAGGGGCTACCCAGAGGCAGTGACCGCGAAAGGGAGACCTGTGGAGGTACAGGGCCCAGCTCCATGAAGACAAGGAGGATGAGGTTAGTCCTCTCCCAAGGACTGAGGTCTGCAGAATCCCAGGGCCAGGGAGGGCGTGGCATCCTGGGGCTGCGTTGAGGGCCAGGATGGGTGATGGGAGGCGAAGGGTGAGAGTCCACGTCCTGAGTGGGGACCTGGCACAGCACGAGGCAGGAGACGGTAAAGAGACCAAATGCAGAAAGGTTGGCAGGGACCTTTGAGTGCTTTTAAGCAGGAAAGGAAATGACCCAAACTCTGCTGCCTGGCCTCCGGGCGTTTCAGGATAAGGCATTCTCCCTGAGGGTAGGACAAGGGGGTGCAGTGCCTGTGACAACTGCAGGGACCCACAGACCCAGGGGTTAGACACTTCAGACACGCCTCTTGTCATAGGAGTCAAGCAGTATACTTCTGCCTCTACAAATTGTCCATTCCCCCAACCCGCCTGCCATGTCAAAGCTCCTGTGTTCATGTTTACATGCAGTGGGTGTCTGAGTGACGACAGTGTCTCCCCACCACATCTCTGAGACTCTATTTCCTTATGTGGGAATTAAGTCCAATGAAAGCTGAAGGGTAAAAGGAAGTGACAGTGCTTTGAAGTATAATTTAATTGGTTTTCTTTACTGTTACTAGAATTAAATTTTTTTTCCAGGTATTCCTTTGCAAAGCCCCCTCATTAAAGAACTACTCCTTTGTAGGGAGAGATTCAGCCATACCTAACACATCTTGGTGAGAGTCAGTCGGATGGCCTGAAAAAGATATGGCCTCTCTAAAACATAATTCAGTGCACATAAGGGAACCTATTTCCACATTCCTGGGGTGGCGGGGGAACTTTCCTCCTCAAGGTACCCCTGGTCCTAGTACATGTGACCATCAAGTGACCTAAGGGTACTCACATGTTAGGGACCCTCAGCTTGAGATGTTTGCTGTGAGTTAAAGTACAGAACCCTGGTGAAATGAAGCAGTTCATATGTTTGGTTTAGACAGATACAATAAGGGAGATTCCAATTCCCCTTCATGGGGACATGAGCACATTAGGGGAGTTAGTGAATAGGGTGTTTCCCAGTGTTGAAAATGTTTGCAAGGCTTTTGTCCTACTGAGATTCTGCTGAGATCATCAGGATGCTTATGCAGCAACTCTTGTCTCATTTTTTTCATGATGAATTGTATGTTTATTTTAATATTCTAACGATGCCATGTTGGAAGTGAAGAAAACACAGCCATCCAGGAGTGGAAAGTGGGGAATGAAGAACATAAACACAATGAGTGTTGGCTGATAACCTTCACATCCAGCCTCAGATACACACTTTAGAGGTCCCAGAGCTCCCATCATAGGGAATCCCAAGTCATTTCCAAAGACAGACCTTCATGAACAGGGCGACACAGAAATACCCACATACCCCATATTGCTGTGGTTCTCTACCACCACATCTGTCCAGGGGTCTCTGAGAAAGGATCAGAATGTCTAGTTCTTTGTGAGGGAAGTTCACAGTCAATATTTGAAGTTGGCTCCTTCATACTCAATCAGGAGCCCTTTCCTTCTACTATTCATAGAGGAAGAATGAGTTTTCCAGATGAAGGAAAGAATGGTGGATGGCTTTTGAGTCATCTTAAGTGTCATAATTCCAAAAAGCATGTACTGGGTTCTGAGTCTTTCCTGTTGTGGATGTTAGGCCACTGTTTCTCATAAGATGCCTTCCTGTCAGAATGAGTACTGAGGACTAAGGGCAGCTGGGGGTGTGGGGATCAACAGGCCCTGAGAGCCGAGTCTTTAGTAACCTCACCTTTACTCAAGGTCCCTGCAGCGCCCACTCCTGTGCACAGGGTACCAACTTGCCTCCACAGAACCAGACACTACCCCAGAGACAGGCTCCCCACAGCACCTGTCTGACTGCGGTTCCTGCTCAACAGGCTGCACACGTGAGGAGGATCTCCAATTAGCACTCTCCCCTCACAGGTTCAGTATCTGCAGCAGCAACCTGGTTCTTTCCCTGACTCTAGACTCTAGACCCCTGGACCAGTGACAAGGTCTCAAAACAGCAGAATTTGTAGCACAGTATCATTCTTCCACCAACTCTGAAATTTCCCCTAGATGTCCTTGCTTGCCTTCCACCCCCCATTTCCACTTCTTCCTTCCTTGCATGCAATGAATATTACTAACTGCCAGAATGTTGAGGATTAAATTACATAATGTATTGAGGTCCCCAGCACAGTGCCTTGTACACATTGGAGCCTAACAAACCTGAGAGCAGACAGGAGATGCTCAGTAAAGCTTGTTTTAGTGAATTGATGCATGTTGTTTCTCAAATACTGTCTTGCTCAGACACTGCTGATTTCTCTATTCTTCTCTCAATTTGATAAGGTCAACAAATAATATAATTTGGGGGAGGGGGAGGTAATGGGTGATATTGCTGGAACCAAATCTATTTGTGCTTAGAAATGATGTTGTGACCCAGCATTTCCATTTTTAAGTTAAAAATAAAATTTGGGGGGCTTCCCTGGTGGCGCAGTGGTTAAGAATCCGCCTGCCAATGCAGGGGACATGGGTTCGAGCCCAGGTCCGGGAAGATCCCACATGCCGCAGAGCAACCAAGCCCATGTGCCAGAACTACTGAGCCTGCGCTCTAGAGCCCACCAGCCACAACCGCTGAGCCTGCGTGCCACAACTACTTAAGCCCGCGCACCTAGAGCCCGTGCTCCGCGACAAGAGAAGCCACTGCAATGAGAAGCCGGCACCGCAACAAAGAGTAGCCCCCGCGCGCCACAACTAGAGAAAGCCTTCATGCAGCAACGAAGACCCAACGCAGCCAAAAATAAATAAATAAATTTATAAAATAAAATAAAATTTCATCAGTCCCTCCCAAACTTCCTGAATCATAATTTCCTAATGTTGAACCCCTGATCGCCAAGAGATTTGCATGTATATTACAGCTTAAAAAGCAATATTTACTTAAATCATTCTCAACACTGCTTTCCCATTGGGAAACCTTAGGTAATTGTAAGAAATACCATCACTCCAGAAATTATTTCAGTTGTTCTGAGGATGAGCCTCGCATCAATACTATTTTAACAAAACCTTCATGACCCCTTTATTTGCAGATCAAAGAACATTTATTAACCCTCAGGTGATTCAAATATCAGGTTGCTATCTATATTAGATCTTAAAATTCTTTGACTCTTGTGGTCATCAGAGGATTCCAGAAAGGAGAAGTTTTTCTGTGCTTCTCTAGACTTTCAATTGCCAGAAATTAAGACCCACGACACTCTGTTTCTGTTGTTGTTGTTGTTTCAAAATTCATGACACAGTGACGAGGCAGGAGTACCACTATCGCCACTGCTGGAAATGAAGATGCAAAAAGGTTGTCTTAGGCTGCTCTGAGCCCCTGACTCTAAGCTAAATCCCCAAGGATGTCCCGGAAAAGGTGGTGCTAGAATGGAAAGCAGGAAGACAGCAACACACCAGCAGGAACAAACGTAAAATTTTCTAAGTCCTCCAGGAAGCCCTGCAAGGTTCGTGTAGGCATGTGTTACCCTCTGCTGGCCTGGGCACATTGAAAATGGGATCTACCAACAGCCCCTCTGAGATATGAAAACCAAGATGTCAGACCTCAAAGGAGCTGATCAGAGCAGAAGGTAGAAGGGCACCCAGATGGCAAGGGCTGAGACTGTGCTGGACATATAAGGTATGTTGTAGGTGAGGCTTCTCCTTGCTGGGTACGGATCTGGTTCCTGTCTTTGTAGGGGTTGGCGTAACTCCAGTGTGCAGGGATGGGCAAACCCTGGACCAAGGCCTCTTTTCCTCTCTCTGGTAGTTCTCTTCTCCTAAGTGTCTCACAAATTCCCAAGTTCTCCCATGCTCTCCTCAGGTTGGTTTTCTTTTCCCTCCTGATGTTCGTCTTTGCCTTGCAGAGCAAGTTTCCTAGCACAAACCTAGAACTAAGACTTCAAACTACCCAATGGGCCCAATGTCATTATCTTGTTATTCAGTTAGAGATGTCTGTATTCTTTTATCTCCTTAGGTGTATTATTATTATACTTCCTCATATTAATGTCATAAGGATAATAATCACTATAGTTATTAAGTTTCTTCTTATGGATTTTCGTGTGTGGTTATAGCTACACAGCATTGACTAGTGATTCTCTACTTAAGAAAGATGTCTGATTTTCAGAAGATGATTGCCAAGGGTTCTCAAACAGACACACATTCACAGTCTCCCATGCTCCTTGCCATACCACTTAGTATCTTTTCAATAAGCAAAACCCTTATTTTTCAATTCCAGCTCCAGAAGCAGGGACAAACCTGTGAGTAGGTGAGTTCCAGATGAGGATTCCATTGATCTTAGTGAGGCCCTGCTCACTTTACAACAGCTCTTCAGGGACCAGGAATCTCTTTTTCCATCTGAAGAGACCCAGGGAAGTATTCCTTGACCTGCTAGAGAAACCACAAAGATGTGTAAGTCAACTCAGGGATGCAGAAACCATTCTTATCTTCCTGAAAATGTTGTAGAAGGTATCTCAACCTGACAGAGCATTGTCAGAATTTTCTGTCACTTCAGGAGGTCCAAAGTACCATTGCTGAAAACTGAAGAGCACAGAGGATGAGCCACACCTGCCAGAGCCTCTGCAAATATTCTAAGTCCTCTTGGGTGCCCAGAAAAGCCAGGGGCTGAAATGGAAGGCAGGGAGGGTGAAACACACCAGAACAATCAATTGAAGAACTTTATAAGTTCTGTGTGGCTACAAGGAACCTCTAGTGCCTGCTCGTGTCACACCTTGCCAGCTGGGAGCTCCAATAGTAACATCCTCCAAGAGCCCCAGAATGATATATATGAACACAGATGTCTGGACCTCAAGGGGCCTGGGTTGATCAGATGGCAGAAAGAAAGCTAGTCACTGAGAACTGAGATAGCACTGGGAGCTTAATGTATGTTACTGGTGGGGTTACTGTATCCTGGATGTAAATCTGGGGTCAAGTTTTGTCAGCTCATTGACCTGAATCCTGATATCTGGTGGGAATACTTTTCTTTAAAGTATTTATTTATTTATATATTTGGCTGTGCTGGGTCTTAGTTGCAGCACGTGGGATCCTTGTTGTGACATGCGGGATCTTTTAGTTGCAGCATGCAGGATCTTTAGTTGCGGCATGCAGACACTTAGTTGCGGCATGTGGGATCTAGTTCCCTGACCAGGGATCGAACCCGGGCCCCCTGCATTGGGAGTGTGGAGTTTTAGCCCATGGACCACCAGGGAAGTCCCTCTGGTGGGAATCCTATGACTGGTAGGCTCCAGACCTGCGTCCTCCACCTCTGCTGGGGAGATCCCTCTTCCCAGCGTTGGTACAGGAGATCCCTCATTGGCCCATATTCCCCTCCTTTGGTTGTTACTTCCCTCCTGTTCTCATCCATGACTTTCAAAACACATTTTATTGTGCAGACCTAGGGTTCAAACTCCAAAATATTCCATGATGTCCAATAACAGTATCTGGTCACTTAGGTAGGAGAGTCTGTATTCTAGTCTACAATCTCCCTAGGTTTCTAATTATTATCATTTTTATAGTTACTACTTTTATTATAATTAGGATAATCATCATTATCAATGTTGTTACTCATTATGATTTTTATTATTATGTTTTTTTATTATGCATTATTTTTGTGGTGGTAGTTATACAGCACTGAGCAGAGTTTCTCTTTTCACCTAGGTGTCAGGTTGACTGAAGGTAAGGGAAGATCCCTCAACATACCTACATACCTACACATTCACAGTTCTCCCAGGTTCCTGCAGTAGCCTCTTTCTTTTTTAAGTGAAACACCTTCATCAGTTTTTTTTAAATAGTATTTTTAAATTAATTATTTCTGGTTGCATTGGGTCTTCATTGCTGTGCATGGGCTCTCTCTAGTTGCGCTGAGTGGGGGCTACTCTTCGTCACGGTACACGGGCCTCTCACTGCGGTGGCTTCTCTTGTTGCAGAGCAGGGGCTCCAGGTGCACGGGCTTCAGTAGTTGTGGCACACGGGCTCAGTAGTTGTGGCTCACGGGCTCCAAAGCGCAGGCTCAGTGCACGGGCTTAGTTGTTCCACGGCATGTGGGATCTTCCTGGACCGGGATTGAACACATGTCCCCTGCATTGGCAGGCGGACTCCCAACCACTGTGCAGGCAGAGAAGTCCCCCTGCAGTAGCCCTTGAGGCCTGTCTGTCAGATGAGCCTTTTGAAATATTAGAAGTCTCCTTCCAGAGGCAAACCCCGCCTGGACATCTGGAAAATTTTACAAGTCTTATTGAGGGCCCCCGAACTGTTTTGCTGGCCTTAAGGACCCAGAAGGCTGTCTTAGACTAGCCAGAGCCTTCACATAATTTTCTAAGACAATTCAAAGGCACAGGAGGTGCTGTTACCTTCCTGGAAAAGCTGCAGAGAGCATCCTTGCCCACATGAGCCTCCTCAGAATTCTAAAAGTCAGCACAGAGGCTGGAAATCTGGCTTTAAAAACAATTGAGGCTCAAGGAAGGCATCCTAGGCCCCCCTGAACCTCTGGGAATGTTCTGCATCCCCTTCAGTGTCCAAGAAAGGCTGGTGCTGGACTGGATGGCAAGGAGGGGACAACCTGTCATGTGACCTACCATCAAATTTTCTAAATTACTCAGTGAACTCAGTCACAGCTCAGGCTGCTACTGTCGCCCCTGCTGGTTGAGGAGCACTGGCTGAGACATGTGAACTGAAATTTCTGGACCTGAAAAAGCTAGGTAAAGAACAAGAAAGGCAACCAGGCCATCATGAGGACTTAAAGTGCCTAGCAGAGGGGGCCTTTGAGCAGCAGGTGGATCTGGGCCCTGCCTTCTTTGCAGGGACCCAGGCCATCAGAAAATTGGCTCAACCCCTGAAATTCCATGAGGTTCCTGTGGCTGGTTGGTTCTAAAACAGGGTCTCTCTATGTCTGCCCTATAGGGATCTCTTCCTGGGGTTGGCATGGGAGTTCCCAAGATTACCCATGTCCTGAATATTATTACAATAATTCCTTATCATTATTGTTGTTGTTGTTATAAAACATTGAATAAAGTTTCTTGATCCGTGAAGAACTGTCTCATTTCCTGAAGGTGACAGAGGGTTCCCAAAGCATACACCGCTGCTCTCTGGCTCCCAGGTTAGCTCCACAGTCACTTCCCCCAGGGAACTTCCAGAAACTTTCCAAATACACTGCCAGATGCCTGGACTGGCCTTTTTTTTTTTTTTTTTCCCCTCAGGAGAAACTCAGGGAGGGCATCTTGCCTGGAGCCCCTGGAAAATATTCTAAGTCACCGTAGGTCCAGCTTTGAAGTGGTTGCCTATTTGAAGTGGATGCCTCAACAATCAAAGCTTAACTCAGGCACTTGTATTACAAAAAAGAAAAACCAACTGTCACAATATACATTACAGACATTTAAATGAACAAAAATAAGAGTTGTCTCGAATGACAGATTGTTTTCCAGATGAATATTTATGCCCTATCTTGCTTTTACTTATTTCAAAACCAGCATTTCAGAATAATGACTACATATAAATAACAGTGCATTTCATTTTTTAAATAAGAAAAATTAATATTGTTACTATGACTTAGTTGGATTACACAAGAAATCAACATGACTAGCTAGTCTAAAACATCATTCTTGAAATAAGCAATATTTACAATAAACAAAAAATACACCATTGGCAAACCATTAATTTAATTTAATTTAAACCTCAATTAACGAATATCTACATTAAATTTGATAGTTTCCTTACGTTATTTCTCCTGTTTGACAGAAACTATTAGCTTAATGAAAGTGGGTTCTGCTGCCCCCCAGTGATCTCTTTCTGTCAGAGAACCTCCAGATGTAGCATGGGCCTACTTACACCTTGGTTTTGATGTAGCATAAGTGATTTAGGACTTCCGGGTACAGAGTTGTAAGAGACTAATTTTGTGTTACTCTAAGTCACTTAGCCTGTGGTAATTTTAGAGTAACAGTAGGACATTATCCATGGAAGAATATCAATACAATCAACATTTAGATGGAATACAGTATGACCATGAGCAAGGTGCCTTGCTTTAAAACGGGTTAGGGAGCTACAAGCAGAATTGGGAAGAGCATAAACAAATAAATCAAATCACATACGTTGCTATCTTTATTTGTTTCTGATTGTTACAGATTATGGTTTTTGATAAGAATAAATAAAGTAGTCCTTTAATAACTTGGTTCTATTTTAAAAAGTGTATTGATGCAGACATCTTCTATCAGAATTACTGTATGTTATATTGTGTACAAGTTCACAGAAAATGAATTTGTCAAAACTCAGTTTACCAAATATAGCAAATTTCCCACTCACCAACCTCACTGATTTACCAAAACGTAATTTGTGTCAAACATAAATACATTTTAAGGAGATTTCTATTTGGAAGGGATGATTTTTTAACACAATTTAAGGTCAGCTAGGTATTTCATTTGACCAGTTACCACTGGATTTAATAGATCCAGTAAAATGAATTTGTTGAGTTTCAATGTGGTTTAGTCTTCTAATGAGTTAACATTCATTTAGAGATGTATACATTAAGATGTTGTGTACATGTAGACATACATTCACAATATTATTCAGCCTTTCAAAAGAAGGAAATATTGCCATTTCAACAATGTGGATGAACATAGCTGATGTTATGCTGAATGAAATAAGCCAGACACAGAAAGACAAATACTGCATAATATCACTTACATGTGGAATTTAAGAAAGTGGAACTTACAAAGACACAGAGTAAAATGATGGTTTTCGTGGGCTTGAGGTGGAGGAAATGTGGGGCTTTTTTAGTTGTAAGATGAATAACTTTTGGAGGTCTAATGTAGAGCATAGTGATTATAGTTTAAAATACTGTATACATGAAATTTGCTAAATGAGTAGATCTCAACACACACAAAACAGTAAATCTGTGAGGTGATGGATAGGTTAATTAGCTTGATTGAGGGAATCATTTCACAATGTGTATGTATATCAGAACATCACATTGTACACTTTTAGTATATACAGTGTTTGTCAATCACACCTCAATAAAGGTGGAACAAATAGTTTGAAAAAAGGAAAAAAGGAAATAGAGAACAGTATGGATCCTCTTGCTGCAGATTCTGTGCTGTAGTAATAATAACAATGAAAAACCTCAAAAACAGTGAAACCTCTGGGAAAGAACAGGAAGTTTGCTTCTGAGACCTTTAGAAGATGTGCAGAAGTAAAGGACTTGGTCAGTTTTTAAAAGTTGTATCTACATGATTTACCTAAGCAGGGGGATATATTTTGTTACTGGGAATGCTTGATTGGATTTATCTTGACAGACACTCAAGTTATTTAGGGTGTGTCCTTTGGGTTACATGGTGAGAGAGGTTAGATGGTTGATGAGATTATAGTTTATGAGGTTATATGATTGATGAGGTTATCAACTGCATAAAAAGAGAACTCACATCAGAGCAGTGTTTTGTGTAGAGAAGTTCTGAGCTCTGGAGTGTGGTGACAGCAACCTCAGGAAAGACCTGGCTTCATTGGATTTTCCATCCATTTGATTTCTGGTAAATAATGAAGATAATTTTCACAAGAAGCGACAAATGTCATTTATTTTAAAAATGAATTTTAATTGAAAAATGATCACATAATCTGTCTACAAGAATTTGGGGTAGGCCCCTTGAGGGTTGGTTCGGTTGTTATGGACATGGAAGTTTTCTAGATTAATCATTTCTACGTCGTGGTCACAGGGAATTGTACCTAACCTTAGAATTCAGGTAATATTTTTTTGCAGTTATACCAGTGGAGAGCACAGTAAATAAATAAACAAGTTGCCTAAATGAATAGTAGAATTATATTTAACACAAAGGGGAGGGAAAGAGGAAGGCTAACTGCGGCTGAGATTTAGAAAAGGGATCCTTGGGGAGTTAACATTTAAACCAAGACCGAAAGAAACTGTGTATGGTGTGAGGGTGTATGTGTGGATGAAGAATGCTAATAGGTCTCCGTGTAGGGATGAGAGCAATACCTAATTGTATTTGTGTGGTTCTCTGAGGGCATGTAAAAGATCAACCCCTTGGGCTTCCCTGGTGGTGCAGTGGTTGAGAGTCCGCCTGCCGATGCAGGGGACACGGGTTCGTGCCCTGGTCCGGGAAAATCCCACATGCCGCGGAGCGGCTGGGCCCGTGAGCCATGGCCGCTGAGCCTGCGCGTCCGGAGCCTGTGCTCCGCAACGGGAGAGGCCACAACAGTGAGAGGCCCGCGTAAAAAAAAAAAGATAAACCCCTAAATGTCTGGTAGAACCATTAATTAACAATGCCAAATAGAGGAGTCTGATTTACATCTTCGTTTTGGTAGGGGAGGTAATGTCCTAAGACATATTTAATTTTAGTAGCACATGACTATGCAATTAGAGTTGGTAGGTCAGGATTCCATAATCCCTGGATCAGTGTCTTGATCAGCAGAGATAGTAAAAGTTGAGACAGACATGAGAATCCCTGGTCTTTCTACTGAATTGAGTAAATGTGGATTAAACAGGCAGGTATAGCAAGGAAGGTGGGGCTGAATACAAAGTGGATAGGTGAACGGCAGGTTCCCAGGTAGTAGGAGAACCTAGGTGGGGAGTGATTCTGTGAGATGAGCTGAAAGGGGAGAGGCTGGGATTCCAGGGTGGGGCCTCTGAGTCCTTCCCTGAGAGGTGATGATTCCTGGTGAAACCTAGGTATGGCATGTACCCCTCACGACAATCCTGCTGAGAAATTTGAGTTTGGAAACAGACCAAAATTGTAAGGCCAGATGACCCATTTCCAAGCCGTGCAATTTTGTCATGTTACTAAAGCTCTGTAAACCCCTGTTCACAACACTGCTTCCCTCAGTAAAGGATTCAAAATCAGCAGGGTTATCGTGAGGCTCAATGAAGCCTCTCTATGGAACTCTGCAAGCAGGGATCTCATTTAATAAAACTTTTCTTTTTCTTTTTCTCTAGACCTAGGAACAAGGAGGTGTGTTGAAACTCCTGCAGAGAGGACCATGAGAAGGGTGCACAGATCTCACACCCAGGCCTGAAAGATGGGGAACTGCCTCAAATCCAGCATCTTGGATGACAGCTCTGTTCCTGAGTCTCCATCCCGCTGGGTGGGCCCAGGCGGGGGGAGACGCTGGGATCAGGAACCACATCCGGAACAAGTTCCAAATCCCATCCATCTTCCAACACCCAGCTCGCTTCACCAAGCAGCACAGCTGATGGAAGAGGAACAAGTGAGGTTAGCTCAAAGAATCAGCCTTAAAGAGCGCCTGCCTCAAGGAGTGTACAGAACAGATGGATTTGAAGAAAAGATCCAGGAGGAGTGTGTGATTTGTTGGTTGGAGTTTGTGCGTGGGGACTCCATCAGATTTCTGCCCTGCGCACACTTCTATCACCCGAACTGCATCAATGAGTGGTTGACCAGGTCCTTCACCTGCCCCTACTGTCGCAGGCCCATGGATGTCACACAGCCTTCATCCCAGGACATTAATTGAGCCAGGATCCCTTGTTTGATTTCAAGTGTCCCATCATTTTTAGTGATTTTGATATTTTGTCATCGTGTCTAAGTAGCCAGGGATTAGGAATTAAAATCATGCACAAAGATTTCCTAAAAATTCCTGTCATGTTGCAGATGATGGCAAACAACTTATAATGTTTTAGAAACTTAGGGAGATAATAGCATGTAAAGCCTTGACCAAGTGTTCAGAAGTGTAATTATATCTTAGCATTTTTCCAGTACATGGGATGTGTACCATGTTGCAGCAGCTATACACGTTGTATCGTGTCTGTTGAAGATTAGGGAAAAGAAAGTGGTTACTTTTCCTAAGTGATATAACTTTCTTCTCCCCAATCCAAACTGGCATTTGGACCAAGGTTTTATGAAAAACTACAATTTATACAACTGAACTAAAATGAAATCCAATTATATATGAGTGAATAAATGAAGAATCTTATTTTCAATAACCCTCCTAAATGGTTTTATCTTTTTTTTCTCCATCATTTTGAGACATTTAACTTTTTTCTTGTAAGTCCAACCAAGGGGAACAGTGTCCCAGGGAAGAACAATCGTGAGTAGGTTTATTAGCTGTGTAATTACGGTGCGTTCATGTAATTTAGCTGTGTTTGTGTAAAGGGATAATAAAATAGTTTTCCATCTAAAAGTCAGAGTTGAGGGAGTGATATTGCTGGAGACCCCAGGTGGAGGAGGGCATTAGAATGATTCAGGATGAGTGTATGCAGAGGTTTGACTTGGATTTGCAATCATGATTTGGAATCATGGAGTGAACTGAACTTCTGATCACTGTGGGCTAATAAGCATACACACCTCCGTGTTTTCCACATTTTTATCTCTCAAATGGAGGTGTTCATATATTATTAATTAGCAATAATAGTCATAGTCGTCTTCCTTGTGACCATAGGCAAGGAAAGCCCTCCCCTTCTTTCTCTTAGAGCATACTGCATGTTCCCAGTGATTAGGGCCACATCCTTATGAAGGACTGATGTTTATGAGATGTGGGTCTGGAAATTGGAAAACTGGGGTCCCATGGCTTCTTTGTCCTTCCTCAGCTTTGCCTTCTTGATGCTTGTACTGGCGACCCCTCCCCTTTCACCCTCTCTCCTAGTTCATAAGAACTTGTGAGTCCCACCCAAACCACCCAGACCCAGGGTAAATGCCTGCCACAGCTCTCAGTGCTCCATCTTGTGCAAACTGGTCCCCTCAATTCTCTTCCTCCTCTCTCTTGGACCCCGACCCTGTGGAAGCAGAGGGAGGTTAGGTGACTAGACACCCACTGGGCACACAGAATCCTGTAGTCCACCCTGAGCCATATATGTGGGACATTCTCTCCACTGAGGCTGTCCAACCAGTGCTGAGAGTGAACAAGAGGAATCTGGCTCCAGGGGATAATTGCACGACTTTCTCAGACCTCCTAGGACTATAAGCCGTTTGTGATCTCCTGTTCCAAATACACCCAGACAAAGGCACTTTAGGTTTGATTTCCCATAGCAATCCTCCCAGGATCGGCACAAACATTACAACTCCCTATCCAATCTTTGGGGATAAATCTCTGATGACTGTGTACGGAGTGTCTTCTCTTTTCTCTTCTTTAAAATTTCTTTTTTCTTAATTTAACTATACTTGATTTACAATATTGTGTTAGTTTCAGATGTACAGCTTCACATTCTTTTCCATTATAGGTCATTACAAGATATTGAATATAGTTCCCTGTGCTATACAGTACATCCTTGTTGTTTATCTATTTTACATATACTGTAGTGGTGTGGGTCCTCTACTCCTAATTTTATCCCATACTCCTAATTTATCACTCCCCCTCCCCTTTCCCCTTTGGTAACCATAAGTTTGTTTTCTATGTCTGAGGTTGTTTCTGTTTTGTAAATAAATTGATCTGTATTATTTTTTAGATTCCACATATAAGTGATATCATATAATATTTGTCTTTTTCTACCTGACTTAATTCACTTAGTATGATAATCTCTAGGTCCATCCATGTAGCTGCAAACTTCACTATTTCATTCTTTTTTATGGCTGAATTTTATTCCTTTGCATATATGTACCACATCTTATTTATCCATTCATCTGTTGATGGACACTGAGGTTGCTTCCATATCTTGGCTATTGTAAATAGTGCTGCTATGAATATTAGTGTGCATGTATCTTTTCAAATTAGTGGTTTGGGGTTTTTTGGACATATACACTAGAGTGGAATTGCCGGGTCATATGGTAGTCGTTAGTTTTTTGAGAAACTGCCATACTGTTTTCCACAGTGGCTGCACAAATTTACATTCCTACCAACAGTGTACTAGGGTTCCCTTTCCTCCACATCCTCGCCAACATTTGTTATTTGTGTTCCTTTAGATGAAAACCATTTTGATAGGTGTGAGGTGACATCTCATCGTGGGTTTGATTTGCATTTCCCTGATGATTAGCGATGTTGAGTAGCTTTTCTTGTGCCTGATGGCTATCTGTATGTCTTCTTTGGAAAAATGTCTATTCAGGTCTTCTGCCCACTTTTTAATCAAGTTGGGTATTTTTTTTGATGTTGAGTTCCATGAGCTGTTCATATATGTTGAATATTAACCCCTTATCAGACATATTATTTGCAAATGATTTTTCTCACTCAGTAGGTTGTCTTTCATTTTGTCGATGGTTTCCTTTCCTTGCAAAAGCTTTTGTTTACTTAGATCCCATTTGTTTACTTTTGCTTTTGTTTCCTTTGTTTTAGGAGGTATGATATGATATCAAAAACTGTAATTGTGAGGGGAGGAAAGTATATATGAAGGATTTTTTTTTTAAAGTCATAATGCTCATTTATTAAAGGATTATGATGTCAGGTTCTGTACAAGAATAGAAAGATAGACATAAAGCCCCAAATCTTAGTGGTTTAATACGATAGAAATTCATTTCTCACTCATGTGAAGTTTCCAGCAGTTATTCCCAGTTGGTTGGTAATCCTCCCATGATTATCCACAGAACTGGGCTTCTTGTGTCTCATAGCTCTGTTCTCTGAGTCCTCAGACGTCTCTGTATTGAGCCAACAGATGGAGAAAGAGTATGGAGGATCTCCAATGGGGAATCTGAAAAGGCCAGGCCTGGAAAGAGTACACATCATTTCTACTTACAGTTCATTGGCTAGAACTCAGTCATGTGGCAACATTTAACTTCAGCTCTCTGCCCAGGGAGAAGAGAAAATGGGTTTTGGTGAACAGATAGCAGTCAAATATATAGAGCTACCTTTGGGAAGAGTGTGTGTGTGTGTGTGTGTGTATACCTGTCTGCCTTCCTATCTATCTACCTACCTATTTTTCTATCATCTATCGATCTATCTATCTAAGTGGATTTTATTATTCTCATTTTACAGGTAAGAAAACTGGAACCTGGGAAGATTAAGTCACTTGCTGGGGTAAGTGCAGGTGCTTGAATGTGACCCACGATTGTCTGGGTTTACAGCTACCACACTATATTTGCTTATTAACCTGATTTATTCTACTATTACATTGTTCTCTATTTCCCCTGTCACCATTCTTTTTTTTTTTTTTTCATTTTAACATCTTTATTGGAGTATATTTGCTTTACAATGGTATGTTAGTTTCAGCTTCACAACAAAATGAATCATATATGAAGGATTTTAAAAATGCATTTGGAATTAAGAGATCAGCAACTTAAAATAATCACGAATATATATAGACTGATATCATATACCTATTATTTATTATCAGTATTATAATTATTTATATTTATACCATTCTGATTATTGTCAAGTAAAATCAAATCCAGAGTTCTATAGGGAGAGACTTTAAATAGAAAGAAAGGTTATTGCAGGAATTCCCTGGTGGTCCAGTGGTTAGGACCCTTCACTTTCACTGCCATGGCTCCTCAGGTTCAATCCCTGGTTGGGGAACTAAGATCTCGCAAGCTGTGCTGCATGGCCCAAGAAAGGGAAGAAAGAAAGAAAAACTATTGCAATAGGGATAACTATCTGATTGCAGAGATCAGCAAGCATCTCAAAGTCAAACCAAAAAAAGATTTTCTTTCACATGGTAAAGGGGGTAAGTGGTAAGGGGAAGTTGGGCACTAGGCTGAGCTTAAGCCAACTGCGTGACCAGTGTGGTGTGGAGGGAAATATGTCTTGCCATAGCCCATCTATCCAGGCTTCCCATGTCTCCAACCCCCTCTGCTTGCTTTCCATGTCTGTCCTCAAGTATCTCTACCCACTGTGCCGTAGTTTGGTTATAAGTTTGCCTACTGAAGGGCATCTTGGCTCCTCATTGATTTTGGTCATTGTGCATAACGCTGCTGAATATATTGCATGCTGTTTATTCTGTGGACACAAATTTTCAAACCAGTTGGGCAAATATACAGGGACACAAATGATGCATCGTATGCTGAGACCATGCTTACGTTTCTAGGAACCTACCAAAATGTCTTTCAAAGTGGCTGTACATTATGCATTCCCACCAGCAATGAATCAAATTTCCTGGTGTTCCCCATCCTCCTTTGTAACTCACATTATCAGTTTTTTCAGTGTTAGCTATTGTAGTAAGTGTGCAGGGTATCTTGTTGCTCTTTTAATTGGCTGTTTCCTAACGACAAGTAATATTGAGCATGATTTTGTATGTTTGTTTCCTATCTGTATATCTTGCATGATGACCTTTCTGTTCAGATACTCAACCATTTTTTAATTGGGTAGTTTGTTTTCTCTATGTTGAGTTTTACAAGTTCCTTGTATATTTTCGGTACAAGTCCTAAACATTTATGTTTTGCAAATATTTTCTCCCAGTCTGGGACTTGTGTTTTCATTGCTTGAATTGTTTCTTTTGTAGAATGAAAAATTTTAACTTAATAAGGTCCATATTATCAATTTTTTTCTCATAGATTGTTTTGATTTTGTACATTAAGCTAATTAATGTATATTAAAATTCATGTATATTTTCTGTTTTCTTATGTCACTTTTTGTTTTAAATTTTACGTTTAAGTATATGAACTATTTTAAATGAACATACATATAAGTTTTGTGTCTTTGTTCATTTCATTGCATATGGTCATCCACTTGTGCCATCATCTTTTGTTGAGAGACTGTATTTCCCATTGAGTTGCCTTTTCTTCTTTTACTATGATCATTTGACTGTATTTTCCTGGGTCTGTTTGTACACTCTCTGTTCTGTTCTTTTTATCTATCTGTCTATTATTTCTCCAATGTCAGGCACTCTTGTTTACTGAAGATTTATAATAAAGTTTGGATTAGGAAGTATGGTTCATCAACTTTGTTCTTCAATATTACCTAGTCTACTCCAAGTTTTAATAGAGTTAGCTGATAGCTTCAAAATAGCTTGATTTGTACTGGGATTGCACCGAATTTATAGGTCAAGTTGGGAATAATTAACATCATAACAATATTGTGTCTTTCAATCATGATCAAGGGATACCTCTCCCCTGATTTACATTTTCTTTGTGTTTTTTTTTCAACAATGTTTTTTTTTCTACACACAGACTTGTACATATTTTGTTGGAGTTATACTTGAGGATTATTTGGGGGGATGCATTGAAAATTGCATTGTTTTTCTTTCCAATTCCAATCATTAAGTGTTAGTGTATGGGAATGCAGTTGACATACTTTTCTTCTTGTTATCTCCGTCCATTCCAATCAAAGCACGGTGTGGTAGACTCCATTTGGTGTTAACTTTCAAAATCGTGGCCTTGAATAATCCAACACTGGATTTCAGTTACTCAGACAGAGACTAGGAGAGGGCGCCAGGAAGCACCGAACAGCGAGCTCCGCGCGTCTTCTACTGCCCCACGGCCCCTCAGACTGCAGGCGGCGCGAACCCTCCTGCGGGGACCCTCCTGGCGCGCGTGCGCATTCCGCCTGCTGACGTCACGGCGTCCTCGGTGAGGAAAGCTTTTCCTTCTCCGATGACTCACCAGAGCGCGCCGCCAACTTTCGGACGACATGGGACCGCGTCGCCGTGAGGAGAACGCTCCCTGTCCACGCCAAGGGCTAAAGGGGCTGTGGGCGCGTCTCCCCGACGACTTCCTTAAACTGCAGCAGAGCCCCTTGATTTCCTGGACGGTCCTGCGTGGTTTATTCTCTACTTTCGCAGGTAGTATTTCAGCAGGACTGACTCTTCAAAAACAAAACCCAAGAACAACCGTCGTTGAGAGTTTGGATGAATAATCACAGAATGCTGTGGTGTTTGCTATGGATTCAGGCTTGTCTTGAGGCAGGAGCCCCTACACAGATTCGGAGAGAGGGAAACACGTGGACACTCGTGACGGGAATACGCGAACTGTCGGGCCCTTCTGGGGGGACGAGGGTGCGGGCAGTGCGGGTCTGGCCGTGAGAGAAAGGGAAGTGGGGCGTCCACCCCCGGGCTTCTGTTAATTTTCAGTGGTTAGTTCCCCCACAACTGTAACGTACTTGAACAATATCAGACGGTTGCAGAGTGTATGTCTTCTAACGTTCACGTTATTTTAAGTCCATACGTTATTTATACCAAAACCATAACTTATCACACTTTGAAATGAGACTACTGTCAGCTGTCTTTCTCCCAGGTCTTTATGAGATGACGTAATTTGATACAAAGAGTGGAAATTTCGGG